AAATGCTCCCTAGTAATGCAATCCAAAAGTGATTAAAGGACTTGGGTGAAGATACATGCATGCGGAGAAGCATGTGACGGGTTGTTCAACACTGCTGTAAGGCACAGGCCAATCCGAGCTACAGTGAGCTGCCAGCTCTCACACCCAGATGGCACTGCGAAAGCAGCCACCACCAAGCAGAATAACGAGTGTGGCAGTCATGGCAAGAAATTGGAAAGTGTGCAGCAAAGAGACAGGGCTGCTGTGGAGAGCACTATGGTATGGCAGTTCTTTAAAAAAATTAAAGGTAAAACTAACAGATGACCCAGAAATTCTACACCTGGATAGATATACAGAGGAACTGAAGGCAAGGTCTGGAGATATCTGTACCCTCATGTCCACAGCAGCATGGTTGACAGTAGCTAAACCATAAGAGTAACCCAGGTGTCCCTCGGTGCTTTAATGTTTGAGCAACAATGATAGATATATTTGTATCAGCCTTATTATTATTCAACTTTAAAAAGTGATGATTATTCAGCCTTACAAAGAAAGGAAATTCTAAATGTGAGTGAACCTTAAGGTTTATGTCAAGTGAAATAAGATATCACAAAAATTCAAATACTGTGTGAGTCCACCTATATAAAGAGTAAAGCCAGTGAAAATAATTGCTGCAAAGTTTTTAAAACTGGAAATCTTTGAGTGTATGAGACACGTTCTGCCTCTAGCCTCCTTCTAGCAGTTTTGAGATTTCAGTGTCAGGAATCAATCTCATATAATGAAAGAATAACTCAACGTTCTATTGCCAAGAGCACCGGCAAAAGCAGAAGACTCTGCCCCTAAAAATAGATACATGATTAACCATTTGAGGGCTCCTGGAGTAGGTTTTGCAGTATCTACAGGTAGCTAGACGGATAACATTAAAATATGAGTTATTTGAAAGTAGCACCTAGTACTTCGATCACTTACTACAAGTCAGTGTTGTTCTGCACTCTTTCCCTGTATTGCTTCACTTACTTCACACCACGATTCTGGTGAAGGAGATCCTATAATTACCCCTGTTACAGATGAGGAGATTCTGGCACAGATAGATTCAGTACCACGCCCGAGGTCACACAGCTGGTCGTGGGCCAGACTGGGATGCAGATCCTGGCCCCTCTCAGCTCTGAGTTTGGCTCCATCCTGGCTGAGTGCGTCCAGAATGCCTAAGGGAGAAATGTGTGAGAAGTAGTCCTGTGTGGAACTGAAGTCAGTCTTCTAACCTCTCTGCCCTAACACACAAGTTTACACCACACCTCCCACAGGCTAAACTGGCTTCATCTCTCACCCACGGTCAGCTTCCCAGCTGAGGAGTCAGGACAAAGCTGCAAAATACCCAGCATCATTAGTCTGGGCTGCTGTGTATGCCTTTCAGGACTCTGATGCCAGAGCAGTTCCAGCCGCTCTGCCCTCTGATTTTTGCACAGCAGCAGTTCTCTTGAGTCTCAAATCAAGGGTCAGCAGGAGGGGACAGGAAGGTGCCCATAGGGAAGGGCCAGAGACAGGAAAGGCACTAAGTGCCATTTCCATGGGGTTTTACTCCTGGATAAAGCAGTCTGCCGAGGAATTCTAGGCATAGGATCTCCAGAAGAGAGATTAAAAGGTTCAGTCTCGTGCCTGGTCAGACTCTGGTTGTAACCTGTGCCAGTCAGAGGAAAAAAACAGATCGATGAAAATAAAGTGTTTGTAGATGGGGAGGGGAGGAGGGGGTGAAGGGAGGGCAGAGGTAAGGGGAAAAAAATGAGAATCAAGACTTGCCATGTAAAGGTACATGATCCCAACAATGAATGTAACTATACTGTATCCCTAAATGTACCAATAAACTCAAAAAAAAAAAAAAACAGATTGAAGCTGGGAGTGTGAAAAGGTCTATACTAAGCCCAGGCCCTTGAGTGCATAGTGGAGGGTTTGAGGGCTGGCCGTTCTGAGTTTGAGTCCTGCTTCTGCTAGTTTTCGGATATGTGCCCTTACCTGGAAAATGGAGCTAACAGTCCTTCTGGTAGCTTATAGATAGAAGGTTGGAAGAATGCAAGCCCAACACCCAGGAGGCTGTGAGCATTCAAAACCCGGGAGGTATGGGCATAATTAGAACTAAGTGGAAGGAGAAGCCACAGGGCAGTTTTGCCTTAAGATTGCTCAACATGTTTATCTTTCTCCCACAGATATTACGACAGGAAATATCGAGTATTCCGGAAGCTGGTTGAACACCAGAAAGAATATTCAGTGATCATGAATGGAGACTGAACAGGGATTGCAGGTGCTGACACTGGAAGGTTCTGTCACTGTATTTGGGACCTCTGGCCTTTCATCTGATATTCAAGTCTTTTTAGGTATCATTTCATTATTTCTGCATTGTCTTCGAATAAAGAAAAGAACTTAGACACATGTAACCAGAACTAGAGTCTTCCATTTCAAAATACCACGATTCTTTTTTTTTCCCTCATTGAGTTTATTGGTACATTTTAGGTATACAGTACAGTTACATTCATCATTGGGATCTTGTACCTTTACATGATAGTTCTTGGTTCTCATTTTTACCCCTTGTCCCTGCCCTCCCTTCACCCCCCTGCTCCCCTCCCCATTTAAAAAATACTTTCTTTTCATTTTCATTTTTTTCCTTTTCCCTTATTCCCTTTCCCCTACCCTTCCCACTTTCCCTACACCTTTAGCCCTTTTCTTCCTATTTCACATTGTTAATTATCCCATTAGGATCTTGAGTACTATTTTAGTTTTTCACACCAGAGAAACTATTTGGTATTTGCATATGTGTGACTTATTTATTTCACTTAGGATTATATCCTCAATATGTATCCATTTTCCTATGAATGAATCTAATTTCTCATTCTTTATGGCTGAGTAGTATTCCATTTTATAGAAAAACCACATCTTCTTTATCCAGTCTCAAACTGATGGGCAAATGGGCTGTTTCCAAGTTTGAGTTATTACAAACTGTGCCGCTATAAACATTGGTGCACATGTATCACTGTGGTATGATTCTTTTGGAAAGATACCCAGCAGAGGGATGACTGGGTCAAATGGAACCTCTAGTCCCAGCTCTTTGAGGTATCTCCATGTTGATTCCCGTAGTGGTTACACCAGTCTGCACTCCCACCAACAATGGAGAAGGGTTCCTTTCTCCCCATAACCCCACTAACATTTGTTATTGGTTGCTTTCTTGATAGCAGCCATTGTTTGTGGGGTGAGGTGGAATTCAGTGTTGTTTTCATCTGCATCTCTCGAATGACCAGTGATGTGGAGCATTTTTTCATATATTTATGCTGCTTGTTGGAATTCAGTGTTGTTTTCATCTGCATCTCTCGAATGACCAGTGATGTGGAGCATTTTTTCATATATTTACATGCTGCTTGTACTTCTTCATCTGAGAAATGTCTGTTCATTTCAGATGGCTATTTTTGAATCAGGTCTTTATATTTAGGGGGGCTGATTGTTTTGAGTTCTTTATATATTCTAACACCACGATTATTTACTCGGCAGTTCCTCTGCAGGAGCTACTGTGGTGCCAGAAGCTCCTCATAAGGTCATAGGAACGTGCCCTTGTCTCTGTGTCATCGCTGAGACATGATATCCAGCACTTGCAACTTCAGAGGGGTTTGTTTCGGCTCCTGGTCACCTGGCTCCTAGACATGAGCAGCATGGTGGAAGGTGTTGGTGGGAGAAGCTGCTCACACCATGGGAGCCAGGAAGCAGAGAGAGAAGGGAGGAGCCAGGGAGGCAGAAACACCCTTCCGGGTCACGAACCCTGCACCTGTCTCCCCCAGCCAGGCCCCACCTCCTGAGAGGAAGGAAGCCTCTATCCTGCTCCCATGGTATGGTTCTCTTCTGTGTGAAGCCTCGGTGGCCAGTCTCAAAATCAACCACAACAGATCTCATATAGGACTAGACCTTGGTGACGATTCAATCCAGGGGAGACTCACACCTATTAATAGATGGTGTCGCACTTCTGTAAGTAGGACCTCCAATGTTTATTCTGGGTCCTTTATGGTGTTTCTCTTCCTGGGCAGGATGCACTTAGGATCAGACATGCATTTAAGTCCGGAATCATCATTTTGCCATCATCACATTAAAGAGAGGCACAGGTGAGGATCATCGATGAATCCAGGAGGAAATCCTGGATATGCACATGATTTTAAATATTTCTTCACACGCTGTCCATTAGTTACTTGAAGAAAAGAATGTTAACTACACAGGGAAGAAGCAAGCCGAGGTCTTGACCGAGTGATTAAAAGTCACTTCAGATGGGCAGCCGGCCATCATGAGCCTCCAGATGCCCCGCGGCTAAAAGTATTTGAGGTAGACAAGTGTTTGGAAAACTGCAGTTGCTTCAGGTGATAGAGCAAACACACACTGCACAGAGGCACACACGTGCACACACATCATCTCAGGCCCAGGAGTTAGTGACTAATGTTGATTCTAGAGCTGTCACAGCACAAATGGGTAAGGCCAGAGGATGCAAGGAAACTTCAACAAGTAGAAAAGAAAACCCCGTACAACTCAGTCAACAACCATCCTTTAGAGTATTTTCTGTGTGCCCAGTATTATGCTAAGCACAGGGCAATGGGAATAAAACAAAACACAGTCCCGGCCCTCAGGGAGCTCCTAGTCTAATGAGATGCAAAGAGGTAAATCAAGCGCAGTGCACTGAGAGGCGCTTCAGGGAAGAGAGCACTGTGTGGAGCACATCAAGCAGAAAAGGAAGGGGAGCAGGGATGGCAGGTGGGAGGAAAAGCAGAATGGTGCGGTGGCTATGAGCCCTGGCTTGGGAGCTCCCTTCTGGATTTACTAGCTGTGTGACTGGAACACTGAGCCTTCCCCGGCATTTGAGTCTCAGTTTCCTCATTTTTACATAAATATAGTATTAATACCTGCTGTAGGATTATGATGAGGATGATATGAATTAATACACATAAAGCATTCAGCTCCATTGCCTGGCCTGTGCCCCCCTTGATACAGGTCCTGGCTCCTGGAAGATGCTCAGAATAATAACAGTACAAACAGTTGTGCGGTTGTGAAGGCCAGCTGTGTAACAGCACTGTACCGTATTGTAGGATGGCCCAGGGTGAGAGTGGGTGTGGCTGTGCGTCTGATCTACCAGGCCCAGCAGCGGGAGGAAGCCCAGTTCATTTGGAACCTAGACCCCAGTCAGCGCTTGGGCCAGGTGAGTGGAAAACGGGAGAATTCTAGAGGATGGCTGAGTGTGGGCAAGACGTAAGACCAAAGCCAATGAGTTCTGACCCAGAAGCTGGGTCAGGCCTGGGCCAGCTCACAGAATGGGTCAGTGAATGCAGTAGCTGTGTGTGGTTAGGAAAGACAGAGACCAACTATTTGCAAAGTCCTTCCTGTTTGTTCTCTTCAATCCTTAGTGTTACACTGTATGATAGGTAGCATTAACCTCCCGATCCAGTTGAGACAGCTAAAGTTCAGAAATGACAAAAAGGCTCGGCCAGAGTCATTATAGTGGCCGTGGAGATCGGATTGAAACCCACTTCTGTCTAGGCGTGAAGCCTTGGGTGTGGCCCAGCTGCCCCACCTCTCCTGCTCATTGGTCCCAGCGAGTGACCAGCCTGCATGCTGCACGTTATATGCAATTACTCATATGCAAACCAAACCTGACCTTGGCTTCTTGCTGCTTTATAGAAAAAAGAAAACACACACAAATGAGGTGAGGAGTGGGGTAACACAAGGATGCTTTTGACATCTCCATAAAGAAAGCAGCTAGATGGGAGGGAGAGCACAGAAAGGCCTTGGCACATTGCTTCCCCTGTGAGCCTCTGTCTCGCCCTCTGTCAGGGGGTTCGTCCTGCTACCTGTGTCTTTGCCTCCATAACAGAGTGTGCTGTGCGGTGCAGACCTAGGACAGTGCCTCGGGGGAACCAGCTCACTACACTGCTAATACCACTTCTAAAGAACTGTCTCTGTGCCTCCTATCCAGGCTAATCCTTGAGAAAAGCATTCTGGTCCCTACTATGAAGCTGGTTGGGAATATGTTCATTTCTGTGTGGATTTCTATAGCCATTTGTCACTGAATGACGAAATTGGTGGTGTTTGTCTCTTTGAAGTAGGGTCTCTCTATGTAGTTCAGGCTGGCCTTGAGCCCATTATGTAGCCCAGGCTGGCCTCAACCTTGTGGCAATCCTCCTGCCTCAGCCTCCCAAATGCTGGGATTGCAGATGTGCAACACCACGCTTAGCAAGGCATAATAGGTTTTATGAAAAAGAGCTACAGTCTGAGCAGTGGTTTATGGAATTTTAATTTAATTTTTTGTTTGTTTTGTTTCATTTTTTTGGTACTGGGGATTGAAGTAGGTCCTTGTACTTGTGAGGTAGGCGGCAGCACCACTGAGCTAAATCCCCAGCCCTGGAGCTTTTATTTTGTTGCCTACTGAAAGCTCTTCTTTCAAGTTGAAGCCAGCCTTGCTTAGCAAGTCATTTTGCCAAGGAACACAAAACAAGTTTTTAACTGAACAGAAATTACTTCCCATGTGTGAAAAATATATGAGGTGTGATTTAAAAACAGTGACTGTTTAATTTTTTATTTATCATAGTAAAAGATACCCTGCCACTAATCCCCTCAAAATAATCACCATAGCCTCAAACACAATTATCCATCCTCCTTGCCACTTCCTGAAGTCCTGCCTTGAGTCTTATTTATTATTTTTTCCTGTTTTCAGTCTTTATGGGCTGTGATAAAGAATGCAGTGACTGAGCGCCACCCAACAGAAAGGCGGGCTGGTACAACGTGGCAGCGAGTCCTCATCCACCTTGTTTACCAGCTCTTGGCACCATTCGATTTGTGACTCTTTTTGTAAAGTCAACATGTTCACAAAAGATGTACGTTTTGAGTCAGTTCAGAACATGAAGGCAGCCGCAGTAACACAGCTCAAGACAGTACTCAAGGAAGAGCACGCACAGCACTGCTTCAGGATAATGGGGAGAGTGTGTTCCAAATGAGGGAGAGCGTCAGGAGGGGTTAATAGCAAGGTAGCTTTTACTATAATTTTTTTATTTAGATATTCACTGTAGTTTTCTACTATGCATCATAAATGCAGCTTTCAGAAGGGCCAAAGAGGACGAATGCCAGGGGAAGGAAATGAGGAAGAAAAAACGAGGGTGACAGTAAGTGTGGCAGGTCCCAGAGGTGCAGAGATACCCAGGGTTAGGCTGGAGTCCAAATGTCCTGCGAAAAAGGGTGCCCTCTTGCAATATATTTAGAGCAGTGCTGGCGAACAGAGCCCTCCCTGCTGATCAGCACCCAAACCAAGTCACTCCCACGTTGCCCCAGCAGCTGAACATTGGATATTCAGGTTTAATTGCCGAGTGGGCACTTTGCAATAAATAAGTGGGTTTGGGTTGCAGTTTGGGCACTCAGTCTCTAAAAGGTTCACCTAGGCTGGTTTAGAACATAGTCACACTGTTGCTATTTGAATTGGGGACCTCAAGGGCTCCAGTAAAGACTTCCCTGGAAACCCTGCTTTGACAGGTACTAAAGGAGTACAAGAGGGTAACAAGTTTCCAGTTAGGCTTTAAAGATAACTGGATCTGCTACTTCTCACTGGACTGAGGATAGTCAAATCATCCTGTTTATTTTTCTGTACTTTAGCCACTGGTCTACGAGTTTCTGAGAAGCACAAATTCTTAGGGTTTGTATACTTCGTACCTAAACAGTTCCTGGCAAATAATAAATGTTCAATAAACAGGTAAATACTTTACACAAACTCCAGACATGTTTCTGCAAAAAGAAGATTAGCAGAACTAAAATATCTCAGAATCTCCCTTTGAGGTCAGACATTCTATGCATATTTTAATGTGCCTTAATTTAAGCAAGTGTGAAAAACTTTAAAATGTGGTTCGATTGTTAATGTGTTACAAAAATCGTACTCCATACCTAATGACTTGCTTGTGCTTTTCCATTTTGCACACAGACACAGACACAAATAACCGTACAACTTCAGTTTGGTTTTTAGTCCAAGCTCAAAAGCCGTGCAGACTTTCATGCTGTTACAAAATCATTTCCTGCATACTGCTTCATGGCAAACCAGTTACGTCCTAGTCCAGAAATACCCAGTGTTCACCAGGGCTGCATACAAATATACTTAGAATCCAGGGCATAGTTACAAATAATTACCATCAAAGAATTTAAAATGAAGGACATTATTGCTAAATGAGAAACTAATGACTGAGCAGAGATGCGTGATATAATTATGCTGACAGTGGGTCACTGCTGAGTTATGGAAGACCCTGTGTGCTACTGCATGTCTCCACGAAGATGCTTAACTGCCACCGACAGCGGTAGGAGGGAAGCTGAAATACAAAGCTTTCTTTTGTGATTTCTAGAAGGAGAACATAAAAAGAAAAGTACATTTTTAAAAAGGATGCTTCTCACTCTTCCCCCAGGAATAGTCTGAGTATTTGAAAAGTCTATTAAACTGGTACTGCTAAAGTAACTTCAGTAAAAACAAAGACTTCAGCTAATAAATCCAGGCTCTTCAATGTAGCCTTAACTGGCCCATTAATTATATGCTCAATTCCTTTTATGCATTGAAGATCATTTCCAATTACTATTTGCATAAATGTTTCTAAAGACCTAATAAATTTTATTTGCTTAAGTCATGCCTTAAGCCTTAATTAGAAATATTTCCTTATTAAAATCAAAAGCAAACCTACCTCCCTCCTCTACAGTTTTAAGGCACGGTTGAATTGCAAATGTTCTACTCATTAGCGTCTATTATGTGGGCACAGTCATGCCCAGATGACGTCTTCCCCTGGAGTTTATCTCTGCAGCACCCATCCTCACTCAATTTCCATTCTCTTCTATGCCTCCTTGGACGCGGGAGAGGCAGGCTCACAAAGCCAGCCCACTTGCAGCAATCAGAACTCCAAGAGTCTTAGTAACTAGCCCAAGATCGAGCATCTGGGGCACGGATGCAAGAGCATTTTGCAGCTTCTCCTGAAATAATTCAGTTCCCTTATTTGTGCAACAGAGAATGATTATTCGCTCGCTGCTCTCTCTTCTGTACTTCCCCTTGTTAACAGGTATAAATATCCAGGGGACCCTTTCTGATGCTTACTGAAGGATCAGAGTATTGTGTTCTTTCCACTGGCAAGCAGAGGTAAAGTGAGAAAGCCTTAGGTCGTGAATCATTACCTCTTGCCTTCGAATCACAGCCTCACTCCTTACTAATCTGCAAGGTATGTGAATTCACACAAGCCAGTTAATTTGATAATTTCCCTATCATATCTATAAAGTGGGAAGAAAGAAAATCTGCCTCGTGGCTAATGTGAGGAGTCAGTGAGATGAAATGTGAAGTGCCTGACATAAAGCAGAAATACTACAGATATGTTTGTCTCCTGGACCAATCCATATTTGTTTTATAAAATCCTGCAGGCATAGTTCCCAGTCAAATGAGACAACTTTATATCCATTTTCTATAGGTAAAATGTCCATGCTACATTAACAACCAACCCTTCCTATGTCAAGAGTGCTAGGGTATCCCTGTGTTGTGGTTTAGATCAAGAATGGGGATTTAGCTCAGTGGCTCCATGCTAGCCTTGCAAGTGCAAAGTCCTGAGCTCTATTCTCAGTATCAGAAAAAAAAATGAACCCCAAACTCTCATGCACTCAGAAATTGCACTTTTGAGAGGTGACTGGATGTGTGGGCTGTACCTGAATGTGCTGTTAGGAGGTGAGGCCCAGTTAGAAGGGTTGGGTCACTGATGGTGTAACCCTGCCAGGAGAGATCTCCTTTCTCCTTCACTGCCTTTAGTGAGCACCTTTCCTCTGCTTAGACCCTTTGTCTTAAGTACTTTTCTTCTTGCTGAGACAAAACACCTGACACCACAAAATAAAGGAGGAAAGGTTTATTTAGGCTCATGGCTTGTAGATGCGTTGGGCCATAACTGGCCAGCTTCAAGGCAGAATGGCATGGCAGAGGAACATCGCAGAGCAGAGGACAAGCAGCAGCAGTGACAAGCAACATGCCTCTTTCTGTTCCAGGCTACCATCTTATCCAGGCTACCAGCCCTTAGGGCGGGTTGCACTCAAACCCTAATCCTAGCTTTACACCATGAATCGGTCCCAGTGTCACTCCAGATCCAGTCACCTCTGAAAAGCTCCACTGATGACTGCAGGAGGCTTTGGGGGACACCTAGACACAAAGCA